CTCTGAAAGGAGAAGCCCTCGAATCCGTAAAAAAGTTTCAAGTAACACCCGACAACTACGCCAGAGCCGTGGAGTTCCTGAAACACAAGTACGGTAATTCGGAAGAGTTGGTGTTCCGCTTGATTGAAAAGTTGGAAAATTGCTCACTAAGATCACAATCCTTGCGTGATCAAAGAAGACTTTTTGAGCAGATACAAGTTATCGTAGAGCAGCTAAGGCAGAAAAAGGAACACGTTGATAGTCAATGGCTCTTGAAACGAGTTCTATCCAAGTTCCCAGAGCAAGTGCAAAGAAAAGTACTCGCAAAGAAGCAAGCAGCTGGCCAAGAAAGCTGCTTCAAAATGGAGTCTTTGCTCACGTATTTGGACGAAACAATCACAAACGAAGAAATGATGTCCATTTATATGGAAAAACCACAATCATTTCAGAAGAGCCGCGAGGCGCTAGAAAGACGACCCAAATACTCTTCGCGAACTTTCTCGCCCTCCTGTATGTATTGCAATAGGGATCACAAGTCCATTGAATGTAGTAAGTATAAAACACCTCAGGAGCGGTCAAAATACCTCCGCGATAATGGACTTTGTTTGATTTGCGCCTCAAGGGACCACTCCACGACGCAGTGCAAGAAGCAGAAATGTTTCCGATGCCAGAAACCCCACCATACTTCTTGTTGTTTTCAAGGATCTGCACACCAACAAGCAAATGGGGACGCGGGAAGAGAAGACAAACGGAGGGCGCCGCGATCCCGCACAGGCATCGCAAACCAAAAGGCAAGTAAGCCCAACGTGAAAGTGAATACTATAGGCCAAGATTGTCCCCCTGATGAAGTCCTCGAACTTCAAGCGCAAAGGACCTCAAGCCCCGACTTAGAAACATTCCTCCCCACTGGAGAAGTCACGGTGCTTGACCCAAATAGTAAGACCCTACGCAAGATCTCTGTGTTACTAGACACAGGAGCAGAAATCTCATTTATCGACTCGACTCTCGCTGATGAACTACAGTTACATTCAACTGGACCAGTGAAGTTGAGACTGCACACTTTTGGAGAAGAGCGAGCGAAGGAAAAAACTTGCCAATACGTTGTACTGAACGTCTGGGACAAGTACGGACAACCTCTTTCCTTACGTCTTCTCACCCACGACATATTAACCAAGTCTTTCGCTACTCCTCCTATAAGAAAAGAGGACATCGAATTCATGCAGGCCCTGGATCCAGACATAGCATGTCGGCAGCAAAATACCAAGGTGAAACCTCAAGTACTCCTTGGTAGCGATCAGTTATGGAATCTTGTCTGTGACGACCAGCCCCCCATCAAGCTCCCATCGGGCTTGAACCTCCTCCCTACTCGTCTTGGCCACCTTCTCACGGGTCAGATGAAACGAGAAGGAGACTTCAGTTCAAGTAAGGAGATGGAGAAATGGGATGGATACTGGACTTTAGACGGACAAGTAAACACTATAACCTCCTCAATGACAGAAAATAGTGAGGAAGAAAAGTGGGAAAGATTCTGGAAGCTCGAATCCAACGGAACAGAAGAATTCACAAGTTCAGAAAAAGACGTACATTCTCTGGAAGATCGAAAAGTCTGGGAGAATTTCAACAAGACAATAGAACGCAGGGACGATGGTTACTACGTCCGTCTACCCTGGAAGGACATCACAATATCCCTGCCAGACAATAAATCTATTGCATTCCATCGACTTGTGAGCGTATGGAATGCACTCAAGAAGAACGATGACCTCTTAGAACAATACAACAAGATCTTCCAAGATCAGCTGGATCTGAACATCCTGGAAGCAGTGTCCGACCTTGGCACAAGTGCCACACGTGTGCACTACATACCCCACCAAGGTGTACTGACGCCGCATAAAACAACAACGAAACTTCGCATCGTCTACGACGCATCGGCACACTTCAAGGGTTGTCCTTCTCTGAACGACGTACTCCACAGGGGACCAGTGATCTTACCACCGCTATTCGGAGTGCTTTTACGCTTTAGGATAGGGAAAATCGCACTAATTTCAGACGTAGAAAAAGCTTTTCTACAAGTGCGGCTTCATGAGGCGGATCGCGACGCAACCAGATGCCTGTGGTTGTACGACCACAAGCTCCCACCATCACGAAAAAACATACAAGTGCTCCGATTTACCAGGGTAACATTTGGTCTCAATTCCTCCCCGTTTTTGCTGGCGGCTACTACCCATTACCACCTAGATCAATGTGATGAAGATCCCGAGGTAGTAGCAGAAATGAAGGAAAACTTGTACGTCGATAACCTAATCCTAACAACCGATTCAGTGGAAGATTCCATCCAGCTGTACACAAGTACGAAAAAAGTCTTTAGGGATCTCAAGATGAACATAAGAGAATTTGTTACCAACGAAGGCCATCTGTCAAATTTCATACCCGAAGAAGACAAGTCAACGCAACTTTCACCTAAAGTTTTGGGTATTGTGTGGTCCTCGGTGACGGATTCTTTGGAAATCTCCTGCTCTCTCCCGGATCTAAACCTGGTTACCAAAAGAACCGTAGCAAGTGCACTGTCTTCCGTCTATGATCCTATGGGATGGCTGGTCCCTCTTCTGCATAAAGCTAAACAGTTTCTTCGTTACCTTTGGCAGGAACAGTACGATTGGGACAGCCCTTTGCCAGGAGAACTTAAGGGGAAATGGCTCCAAATTACTGATGAGGTCAACGGATTTGAGAGAACTTTGCCTCGTTTCTTAGCGCCAAAGCACTCGGAAGCAGTTCTGGTTACCTTTGCTGACGCTAGCAACGAAGCAATAGCTTCATGCGTTTACCTAAGATCCCCGCAGCAGTGTGATCTACTCATGGCTAAGAGCAGACTCCCGTCCCTCAGATCGAAGCATACAATCCCAAAAATGGAGTTGGATGCTTTGACACTTGCTATGAGATTAAGCAATGCAGTTGTGGCTCAACTTCGGTCATCATTGAAAATTCGGCAAGTGTTCGTTTTGTCGGATTCGGAGATAGCCCTTGCTTGGATACAAAACCGCCCACTCAAGGATGTAGGAGTAATGGTTTTCAACAGGCTGGTAGAAATCGGCAAGATAGTAGAGCACATTAAAACCAGCGGTATTCAAGTATTTTTTGGGCACATTTCGTCGCACCATAACCCAGCTGACTGCGCGACTAGAGGGTTAACACAAGTAGAGCTACAACATCATACCTGGTGGACGGGACCACAAGCTCTGCGGCTTCCCCTTGACGAATGGCCTACAGCATTCAGGCTCCTAAGCCCTAACGACAATACGGGAGAGGACGAGCTACCTTTACCACCAGATATTGAAGAAGTGCTGTTCACAAGTCGCGAAAAGGTAGAAGAAGGAAAAAGACATGACATGCCTTTCCCTACACTAGCCGGAAAACCTTTAGTCATAATGAAGAGGATTATAGCCAAAGTACTCCGTTTCATTGCCAATGTTATTTCTCGAGTTAACAATCGGCGCTCAGATCCTCTTCAAGTTTCGTTCCTTCCTATGGTTCCTTACGGAAACATAACCATATCTGGAAAAGACATAACATTAGCAGGTAAAATCTTAGTTAAGATCCACCAGAAATCTACTATCACACCCACTATCCTGAAACAACTGCACCATCTGAACGTGAAAATGGGGGACGATAATCTCCTCCGGTGTTTCGGAAGGCTAGGTAGTAGCGAGTTAAGCCTGGCGGCCAAATTTCCGATCCTCGTCATGCAGAATTCTTGGCTATCGGAAGCAATTATACGAGACGTACACAGTCGGGGACACCCCGGGATTGGGCATACCATGTCTATAGTGCGACACCAATTCTGGATCCCAAAATTACGAGCACAAGTTACTCGCATAATCCGAAAGTGCATAGCATGTCAAAAATTCAACAATTTGCCTTACAAGTACCCTCCTCAAGGCGACCTTCCAAGTCCGCGGGTGCAACAGTCGCGTCCATTCTGCCATGTTGGGCTAGATTATTTTGGACCATTGGCAATCACGGCTCCAGACGGTGTGGAAGGAAAGGTTTACGGTAGCATAATAACTTGTATGGCAACACGTTTGATGCACCTCGATGTCGTTTCGGACCTATCCACTACGGCGTTTCTCAGGATGCTCAGACGATTTTTCAGTCGAAGAGGAGTGCCAAAATCTATAACAAGTGACAACGCTCCAACCTTTTGCCTTGGAGATACAATTCTCTCAGAGTGTCTTCAAGCGGCAAGAAACGATCCGGAAGTGGGGCACCTAGTCACTGATAATGAGATTGACTGGCATTACAATACCCCCTATGCCCCTTGGCAAGGAGGATTTTATGAGCGCTTGATAAAATCCATTAAATACTCCCTATTTAAGACCTTAGGGAACACGAAACCAACATACGATGAGCTGCTCACAATTTTGACGGAAATTGAAGCACTTCTCAACACCAGACCGCTTCTCTACGTTGAAGCAGACTCACCTATGGAACAAATTTTACGACCAATCGACTTCCTGCAGAATAAATTTGAAGTGCCTTTTCCTCTTGACCTCTCCAATGACCAGGAAGATCCTGCGTTCCTATCGCCAGAAGAACAGGTAGCTATACGAACGAAAATGCAAGCAACCCATGCGCTGCAAAGCTCCTGCAAGTTTACTGAAAAATTTTGGCAGGTATGGCGAAAGCAGTACTTGACTTCGCTCAGAGAGAAACATCAGCTAGAAGTTGGAAAACAGAGAGGATCACAACATAAGCCAGAAAAAGACTCTTTGGTTCTGATATCTGATCCGGTCTTACCACGACACTCATGGAGAATAGGGCGAATTCAAGAACTAATGGATCACAATGGAGTAGTAAGAGAGGCTGTGGTGAAATTGCCATCACACCGCAGCATCCGAAGACCAATTAACCAATTGATCCCACTAGAACTTGAGGAATATCACGGCAAGGAAGATGATAAATGCGAAACAAGTGGACCACGAACATGCGGAGCTGACAGTGGTGAAGGACCAACCAAACAACAAGACATGGATCATCTTCCCTCACGTTATAATCTAAGGCAACGAAAAAAGGTGGACTACAACGTGAATGCTATTCGAAATGCGGGCTGGTTACCTTACTTTCTGGGAATATTCCTCGTACTAGGCCGGAGTAGTCCAACAGCATTTGGAAATGATACAACTCGAGCAGTACGCTGTATCCCAGGAGGAGTAGAGCTGTCTTCTATGGAACAAGTACCGTATGAAATCTGCGCAGACAATCACTGCCAGACGTATCCTCAACCGAGACAAACCGAAATAGTGAAATTCCCAACACAAATGATCCTTCATGAACATCAAGTTCACTGGAAATTCGGTGGTGTTTCACCAGGGACCATAGAGACAGTTTGCCCCGCGGCGCCGTTCTGCGAACACCTCGACTGCACCTTGTGCTCCGCTGTAGTTTTCAACCCAGAATGTTGGCCCGTGAGAGCGCTTATTGCAACCACCCTTTTTATATATTTCCTCATCACAGGGTGTTACGTTTTCCTCTATGTTCCACTCATAATAGGCACCCCAATACGGATTGCAGCAAAATGTTTATGGAATTTCGTCCGCTACATTTTGCGCGGTTTTTTCTCAAGAATTTGGTTTCATCGGAAAAAGCGTGCGAGAATCTCAACCGACCTTGTGGAACTTCTAGCAGTGTCTCTAGTCATTCTATGGGCTCCCTACACGAAAGGTTGTCAGCAGGTAAACATACTCTCCCACACCTCGACAATCTGCACGAAGTCGGACCAGGGAAACGTTTGCCAAGTACACTTGTCCGAAATTTTCAAATTGAGCCCATTTAAACAGGAAGCTTGTTTCAAACTGCTTCGCGGAGAGGTTCCTATTCACGAGTTTCGCGTAACATGGATGACCCTTTCGCTTTTCTGTGAGAAGGAAGCAGAGTTTTTCACACGCGACACTGTTTACCGAATTGCAAGTAGCAAGAGATGCCCGCATAAGGGTTCCTGCACAGGCGAAAAGTGTGCGGCGGTAAATTCCTCTAGTCTTTTGATGGAACTGAAAGAAGGAAATAGCTATCCTGGTATTACAAGGTGTGTGGAATCCTGCGGGGGCTTTGGATGTGATTGCTTTGGTTGGAGCTCTGGGTGTCTTTTCTACCGTATTTACGTCACCCCTGCATCTACACAAGTATACGAAGTCTTCCATTGTAGGCGGTGGACCGAAGCTGCAAAAGTGAAGCTCACCCATATCGACATTGTCCAGAGAAAAACGAGATCGTATGTTGCATTTATGAGACCAAATGTTCCGACTACATGGAATTCTTTCGCGTTGTCTTTGAGCTCCGTAACAGTCCCCCCATTGCCAACTCTTAGCACATCATTCATTTCTGACGGCCGCGCTACGGCTTTGTGGAACGATCGGATGACACCTGCTTTGCGATGTGACAACATGTGGGACGCGGCGAGTCTTAGGTGTGAGGTAGCAGACAACTGTAACTGCTATCCGGCTGAGAATACGGCGAACTGTCAGTGCAACGATGTAAACATTTCATCGTGGATGCGCGATATAAGACACCGCCTTCCCATTGTCTCACCGTCACTAACATTCCAACGTAACAAAGAAGGACAAATTCAAGCGAATGTCCCAAGTATGACAACGGCAGAAATAGTTTTCACAATGCGAGATAATTTAACAACGAATGTAGCCGTAGATGAAGCTATATGTTCCATCGCAAACGCAGACCTAATTGGATGTTATAGCTGTACAAAAGGAGCGGTCGCACAAGTAATATGTGTATCATCGAGGCACACGCAAGCAGAGATAGTATGTGAAACGACGAGTTTTTCCATTGAATGTGAACCGAATGGGAAAAACTCCACTCTGCGTTTTAGCTTCGCTAAAGCCCGCATTCATCAGCAATGCACCGTGTCCTGTGGCACAGTGGTCAACAGCTTTGAAATTAGCGGTATCTTGAAGTTCACACACACCGCTTCGGGAATTATGAACCAGTGGCTCAGGGGAGAAATACCCACAGAAGGGGAAACACAGTGGCCGGACTTCTGGCACATTGGCGATGTTTTTTTACGCTGGTACAAGTCCCTTTTTCTTGCCTTCCTAGGACTTTTCCTACTGGTCGGAGCCACTTATATATTTATTACCACTTGCGGGATGCGGATTCTATTGGGTAGTGTACGCTGCCTTTTCAAAATTCTCACACTACCCCCAAGTTTGCTCTTCCGCATTGTGAGTCACTTCGCCAGAGGTCGCTCTCAAAGGAGGCTCAAAAAACGTATACCCAATAAGCTTCTTTGACTCTACAAGTATTTTTTGATAATTAGGGAAGATTCATTATAGAGTAGTTTCTTTCATATTCAAGTATGGCCATTTCAGAATGAACCTGAACATCACGGACAGCGATCTGGGTTGCCTCATCACGTATTTGTCGGGAAACAATCAAACTGCGAGTGGCTTTGAGAACGATTTATCGCTCACTCTCGAAGCACTACATCGACAAGTTGACGTAGCAGCCACCCTCCGAGTCGACTGGAACCACTGCCGAGAGGACGAACATTTTGTGCTCGGTGGAGCTGGCGAACAAGTTCTCCGCATCCTTCGCTTACTTCGTGCAGCTGAACAAGTGTCAGAAAAAAATTTCGAAACTCGCGACGAGGTATGTCCTTTTGGACCGACTCTTCGAGGATCAAGTAGTGATAGGCAGACTGAATTCTATCCATCGGCACGCGTGGCTTGATCGAAGACACGCGTTTGAAGTGGATTCAAGGAAAGTGCTGGAATTTGCCCATGAAGGAATAAGGGCACTCAATAAATTCAGCGATGAACTGGAGAAAGAGCTGAGGAGAGCAGAGAACCAGTACGACAATGTGAGAGCTATGGAGACCCAGCACACGTTCCAGAGGCACAAGCTTCTACAGGTGCTCAGGAACGACATGGCTGCTGAGATCAAAGAGTCAACAAAGGAGTTAGTGGGGCTCCAAGAAAAGATGAAGAAACAAGATGCAGAAATGGTCCGCTTGAGACAGACGGTCCAATCGATGAAAGCACATTCAGAAACAATGGACCCGAGCGAGCTGGTCGTGACCGTGGACGCATCGAAGAAAACAAAGAGGACCGTGAGAAGTGAGAGTGGACCTGTTAATGATGAAGAATATTTCGAGAGAATGATCAATGAAGTACAAGAAGAGGGTGAAGAGCAAGCAATGGAAATCCAACCTGTCGAACAGGTTCCTAAACAAGTGGAGCAGCCCGACGAAAAGCAAAGAATCCGTGAGGAAGAACCCACTGTAGAGCAACGTCGACGTCGCCGTCCAGAATCACTCGAAGATCGAAGACAAGTTTGCCGCCCCAGGCCAGCTGAAGATCACCAACAAGATCATCGTCTAGTGGATCACCAGCAAGTTCGTCGTCCGGTAAGGTCCCAATCTCGTCGTCAAGTTCGTCATCCTGTTAGATTCGAAGAACGACATCGAGTCAGACGTGCAGCTTCATTCGAAGAGAGAATCAACGAGTTAAGATACCGAGCTCGTGATTTGGAACAAGTTCTGCGAAATTTCCCGTTCAGAAACATTGGACATAAAAAAGGGTACGACGGGACATGTGCGTTCTGCGGCAGATATGGCGTACACTTTTCCGATTCGTGCCCAGAGGTTGTCGAGGGTGATCAAAGATTGCAGATCGTAGATCGAAAAAAGTTGTGTCATCAATGTCTCGGATCGTGCCTGCCTAGAAGGTGCAAGTACAACCCAAGAAGCTGCTGGTACTGTGACAGAATTCGAGGATCGTGTGTTGAGGATTTGATTCCGGAAGACGAAGGACATCATAAAGCATTATGCCCAGTTCCAGACCTACGTGCGGAGGTACGGGATCGACTCAATCGAATGCAGGACGACATCAGGGACGCTGAACGAAGGAGACAAAGGAGATAATCATGCGTGGCCGGAGTGTCGACGCCAAAGTCGACGTGATCTATACTTTTTGGTCGTACTATTCGTATTCTTATGTACTTTGCTATTTGGTTTTATTTTACTTCACAGTGTTCAATTCATTTATACAATCCATTTAGTTGTGAATCATAACTATACATTTTTCCTATGTTGTTGCTTTCAGGCTTATCAGCTCCATCTGCTCGCAAATTCCTGCGCAGAAGCGCATAAAAGACCGTGGCTGGGGCAGATGGGGCTGTTGAGCCTTACGGTGCGGTCAAGTTCTCAAGTTCTCCCGATAAATCATTGGTACGTTTGAGTCCCGCGTGGCACATAGAGAGAGTTCGACCAAGAATCGCTGCATGGTGCATCGACCGACGAGTTCAGGTCAGTCATTCGCTTTTTCTTTTCTCTTGAACAAGTTGCCTCTTTGGAGAGCCTTTGGTTAAGTGCTCGCATTTCTTTTCCCTCTCTACACCCTACAAGTACTTCACAGCGTGCCTAATCTGAGTCTACAATCTGCGCTCGGTAGCTGCCCTTTCTAGCCGCAAAATGTCATACCAGCTTCCCACGCTGAAACGCTTGCTGACGCATCACACAAGTAA